ACAAGTCCTTTTCATTAACCCTCACTGACATGTTGACCTTCAAATGATATTTCTCCGTGCCTCTTTTAAAAAATCCATTTTCTTCCGGGTTTAGGTCTTCTCGCGAACTCCTAAGCAATGGCCCAGGGATAGGATGCGTTGCAGCCCTGCGACACGGGCTGCTCCAGCGTCCCCAAATCCATTCGAGAACGATACCCCTTTCTAACACGTTTGGTCCCGGGTCAATGACATCACGCACTCTATAAATTCAAACGCGTCTCGGCTTTTGAAGCGTGCACAGGGTGTTTGAGCGATGTGGTAGGCAGCTGGGAGGCAGGAGAGGGAATCGGCACCCCAGTGCTTTGGGAGCTAAGGGGAGGAGAGCCGTCGAGGGGGTTGCCCGCCTAGGACAGCGCCTCAAAAGCAAAGGACGGGGTGCCTGCCCTTGGGATGCTTCAGTGTGTCTGACTGTTTCTTTGTTTTAATGAAAACTACGAAGGGAGATCCCGGCGCTGCTGCAAGGAGCAGGGACAAGGGGGTCTGTGGTCGGTACCGGGTACCGCAATGCTGACGCGGGGCCGCCGCTCCCGCCGCTGCTCTGTCCCGGATGGCGTCCAGTTGCCCAAACTCGCCCCGCCGGCATCGTACCCTCCTCAAAAGGAAGGTGCGGTAAAGAAGTAAATGAAAGGGAGGCTCGCTGCCCAGCCATCGGCGAGGCGCTTCTCTGCCCCTGGCCTGCTCCTCAAAGGGCTTGTCGCGGGGTGGCTGCGGCGCTCCCAGCCAGCCAGCACAGGCGTCCCCAGCAGATGTGGGTTTCCGACCACCCAGCGTAGGTACCTCGTCCCCGTTTCCATGCGGTTTTTCCCTTCTGATTCGGAGAAATTAGCTTAATTTGCAATTTAGCTTAATTCACATAAGACCGGGGGGGGGGAAGGGGGGGGGGGGCGCACAGCTCTATTGTTCTGTTATCCCAACTCCCATCCTACTTTTGGCCCGGAGGAGAGAAGTGACCTGACGATAAGCGGACCGGCGGCGACTGAGCGCCGGGGCAGGGCAGCGGGTGGCCCCGGCGGCGCTGAGCGGACGCCCTGCCCGCCACCCCCCGCCGCTGCCCCACTCCTCGGGCTCCTGCCGCCCACTCCCCGGGCACCGCGGCGCACCCATCGGGGGGCAAGGGCACCCCCATCCTCCCGATCAGCCCTGGGAGGGCTGTCGTGCTGGAGAGGCAACAAAGGCAAGGCAAAAGCAAAGATACAGTCCCCCCCACTCCCGACAAAATAAAATAAATTTTAAAAAGCGGGAAGAGGAAGAGAAAACTAGCCTCAGCACAGTCACCACCAAAATTTCTTTATTATAGCAAGTTAGGAAAGTCCTGTCTGGCAGCAGAGTTCAGATAAATCGCCATCTAACATGCAACCATTTTGGCAGGGAAATAAAGTGACATAAGACTAGGGTTTCTTTTTCTTTTCTTTTTTTTCTTTTCTTTTTTTTTTTTTCCTTAGTTGGTTGGGGTTTTTTCCCCATGTGATTTGTGCACGAGAAAAAATCTATTCAAATCAAAAAATGGAAGGTCGGTAAGATACTAATGCTTTTTAGAGGACTGCGACCATAGTATTGGGAAAGGTATTTTGTGCTGAAGCGGCTTTCAACGCGTGGATCAAACAGAAAAGGCTGCAACCCATGATCGGGCATCCTGAGTAGTGAAAAGCTGAGGGAGGACACAAGAGTTAAATTGCTCTAAAACTCGATTTATAAAACTCATAAACAACTGATGGGATAGGATAGGAGGAAAATATAAGATCCTGCTGGGTGCTTTATCTAGAGACCCTCTTTCTCCAAAGTTAATTAAGCAATAATGATGCTAGCTTTGGAGACTGGTGTTCTGATCGATATCTCCTGTACATTTTATTACTTTTTCTCTGTCTCATGTTTTCCGTTTCCTTCATCATGGGAGATGTTATCGGAGTGATCGTAGTGGCCTGCCACAGAGACTGTCACAGTTGCAGTCCAGCCTGCAGTATACTGGAAAGCTCCTACACAAACAGGGAAAGTGCAAAGAAAGACAATCCCGTCTGCAAGCCAATATAACTTTCAGGTCTTGACAATGCCCACTTCTTCTTCGCATCAAGTAAATATTGCAGCAAAATAAAACCGGAGAACCGCTGCAGGATCTGGGTGGATTTTCAGGCTGAGCTCTGCAGACATTGCATCCCGAGCAGCAGAGGCATGCTGCCTGGCCGCTCCGGGGCTCTGCTCTGCCTGCCTGCACGGTCTGCCCAGGTCCTTCCTTAAATTTAAAAATCCGCCCTGCAGACACGTTATTTCCTTAGGATAATACAATATATACATATGTGTGTATGCGTATATAAATACAGATATGCATCAGTCGGTTGCAAGCATGTGTGTGTACGTATGAGATATATGTGTGTATACATCAATTCTACATCTGGACTAGTTTTTCACTTTCGTACTCAGTTTACACCCAGACGCTCACGCATATGTGTATATGCTTATAAAATGTACGCCTGCGTGTCTGTGCTCCGTGCACGTCTCCTCACTGTGCAAGTCCAACTCTGCACTCCCCGTCCCGTAGAACCGCGGGGCCGGCGCCGCGCTTTGCCTTTGGTATTTCCCCGACGAACCCAGCTCCCCAGTACTGCAGCAGGCTGCTCCTTGGTGGACGGTCTCGTCCGCGGAGACTGCCCACTGCCTGCAGGGCATTTCCTGCCGAGAGCCCGCAGACTCACCCGCAAAGTCCCCGGGCCCCAACAAGCCCCTGTGTCCCGGCGGCACCCCGACGGCCAGCCCGTCGGCAGCCTCTCCTCGCGCCGAGACCGCCCGGGCTCAGCTTGCCTCCTCTACCCGGGCACTGAGTTGATTTTCGCTTTCTTCCCAGCACCCAGCGCTTTCCCCCGCGGTTTTTCCCACCGACTCTCCAGTGGGGCCGCAGAGCACACTGAGGTGCTGCAGAAATTGGACTTGCAGCTCTTGCTGCTTCCTTTCACAGACTCCTCCATCTCTATCTTTCTCTTTCTTTAATTTATGACTTCTCAGCTCCTGTTGACACAGTTTTCCACACTGCCTATATTGTAAAATTGCATTGTAATATACACCGAAGCAGCCTAGACGTCAGCCAGCGCAGCTAAGGCTGGGTATTTGGTATTTCGCAGCTATTTAGTAATGCTCGATTCCATTTGAAGATGACAACAATTCTCTTCGACTCCTAGTTATCCATGAGTTGCAGCTTGAGATCCATTTTTCTTTTGTAATGTCTTCAAGCTTACCGAAGTAAAGCACCTAAATAGCTACGAAACATTTCCTCCTGGCCTGGCCGTTAAACAAACATTTCACTACTCCCTTTCGATAACTAAACCTGCTTTCTGCAGATGCTTTTTTTATTGCAGAAGCAGGAATGTGGTGAATTTTTTTTTCTTTTTTTTTAGTAAAAGCTAGAAAATTAGCTCGGAACATGCTGTAAAAAATACTCGGTTACTTACCGATCATAACAGTTAAAGAGGCATGAAACCCATTTCAGGCGCTTAAATCACTCGGGTGAACACTGGTGGAGATGCATAGGCGCAGGCAGCAAGCTGGAAAAGAATTGGTTAAAGTCAGACTTATTGTTAGTGTCTTAAAGCAATTCTTTCTGGAAGAAAACACCGTCCCCGGCCAAATCCCGAGCGCTTCGCTCCCTCAGTCAATCAGCAGCCGCGCAGCCGGAGCCAGCCCGTGCTAACCCGGGTCGCACGTCGGGTGACAGGCGAGGCAGAGTAGCTTCGCCCCTCCTCACGGGAACTAACAATCTCGTTGTGTATATTAACCAGCAATACAAGTATAAGCCGGAGCGCTTCTGGGGCATGTCTGTCACAACCGGGCACCGATGGAGTGCGCACTCCGAAGCCGGTTTTATTTGTTCCTCTACCGGACCGGCACAAAGCACTTTGCCAAAGCAACCTCAGAGCCTATCAAGTGCTCACATAGATTTTTGCCAAGAAATTCCTTGGATCCATACTGTACCTGGTTTGAGATTATCCAATATTTAAGTTTTAATTAGTTGGGAGGGGGGGTTGTTATTGCTTTTTTTAATATCTTTTTTAATGTAGATTTTACTATAAGGCATCTGCTAAACACTTGCATTAACCTCTGCCTCCATGATAATTTTCCCCCCCTTGTTTTAATTACATTAGGGATGCGGAGGGGCAGCCAATCCTAAAAGAGGAGCTCGGCAATTAGCAGAGCGAACATCAAAAAGTTTTATTGCGGAGGGCGGCGGGCCCCGCCCCCGCCGCGGCCATTGGCGGCCGCCGCTTCTGACGACATATATTAACCCGAGCGGCCCTAAACATGTAGCTGTACATGGAGATTGGGCCGGGGAGCCCTGCCAGTGCCCCGCACCGCGCCGAGCCCCGCTGCCGCCGCGCCCGGCAGAGCGGCGCGGATGTCCCAGAGGAGCACCGGGGCGCTGACCCCCGCGGCGGGCAGGGCAGGGATGCGAGTGCCCGCCAGGCACTGACGGCCCCGCCACCGCGCAGGGCAGAGGGGAGCGCCGCCCGCCCGCCCGCCCCGAACCGGGGGCACATGGAGGGGGGCCGCGTGTAAGTACCACCCGACCGGGTCGCGACGGACTTGGCGAGAGAGGAGGGAAGAAAGAGGCGAGGAAGATCCCGGGCTGGGAAGCCAAGCCGTTTTGTTTTGGTCGACATCTCTCCATAGCTTTTTTATTATTATTTTTTTCTGTGTGCGCTTCCTCGAAGACCCGGCCCTGGGCAAGGAGGAGAAGGAGGTCGAGGCACAACGCATGAGCGGCGGCGGCGGCGCCCGGGGAGGGGGGATCGCTCGGGCACCCGCGGGGACTTTGCAGCAGCGCCCTATGGAGAGGCAGAGGGCAGCGGGACAGTGCTGAGGGGCGAGCGGCGGGCAGCATCTCCCGCCGCTGCGGCGGGGGGTGGGGGGCGGGCGGGGAGGGGAAACCTTTGTTTTGGGGCCCTGGGGGGGAGGGGTGGGGTGCTCTAGGGAGCGGGGATGAGTCTAGTGGGCGGCTTCCCCCACCACCCGGTGGTGCACCATGAGGGTTACCCTTTCGCTGCCGCCGCCGCCGCCGCTGCCGCCGCCGCCACACGCTGCGGCCACGAGGAGAACCCCTACTTCCACGGCTGGCTCATCAGCAGTCACCCGGAGATGTCCCCCCCCGACTACAGCATGGCTCTGTCCTACAGTCCCGAGTACGCCAACGGGGCGCCGGGCATGGACCACTCCCATTACGGGGGGGTGCCGCCCGGGAACGGCCCGCCAGGGCTCGGGGGGCCCCGGCCGGTGAAACGCAGGGGCACGGCGAACCGCAAGGAGCGGCGCAGGACTCAGAGCATCAACAGCGCCTTCGCGGAGCTGAGGGAGTGCATCCCCAACGTGCCCGCCGACACTAAGCTCTCCAAGATCAAAACCCTCCGTCTGGCCACCAGCTACATCGCCTACCTCATGGACCTGCTGGCGAAGGACGACCAGAACGGGGAGGCGGAGGCCTTCAAGGCAGAGATCAAGAAGACAGACGTGAAGGAAGAGAAGAGGAAGAAGGAGCTGGTCAGTGCTCCGGAACGGGACGGGGCGGGATGGGTCAGGGGAGGCGCGGAGAGGAGGCTGCTCGGCTGCCCGCCGGCACCCTATCCCGGCGCTCCCGGCGCCTTGCTGAGCAGAGTGGCCGGAGGATGTCCATGGGAGACACCTCGGTCCCGCTCGTCCCTGGCCGTAACTGCGGGCCAAAAGTGGGACAGCGCACAGCCGCGGGCGGCCGTCGGCGTCCGCATCCGAACCGGAGGCTGAGAGCAGCCGCGAGGAAAACGTTGACACATTAGGGCCCCCCGGGGAGGTTACTTCCCGGGTTGCTGCTTGTCCCGGATCCCAAACCGTGATCCCGCAGGAGACAAGCCTCCGCTCTCTTTAAATAAAAGTCTGGAGGCATTATTATCTGCTAAGCCAGCACGGCTTTAAACCGTCGGCAAGTACGAGGTTCGCAGCAATAGGCTTTCCTGCCCCTGCACTCGGCGCTTCAACTTTTTTTATTTTTTACGGGATAGTCAGCTTAGGCAGCGCAAGCCCGATTTCGTGTAGGCCCTATGGCACGCTTGCGTGTGATTGATTCCCGTAGATTTGGGCTGGTCGCGAATCCGATGTTTTGCCTCGATAAGTGCCAGTGCCCATCTTCTCCGCACAGTCAGGGAGGGGGTATGGTTTAGCCGAGACCTTATCGTAATCCCCATCACCCCGTGGACTACTGGCGCCGCTCAGCCTCCAGCCCGCTTCACCGTGCTCCGGGCGTGGAGGGCAGTGGGATGGCGCGGAGCGGGGATCGGCCTCCGCCGGGAACACGGGCAGCCGCGCACGACACAGGGCCGCTCCCACGGGCGGCTGCTTCGCCCGCGGCAAGACCCCGTGGAGGGGGCCCCGCTATGTCCGCTGCAGCCCGCAGGCCTCGACAGCAGCTCAGGTCTCCTCATAGTTTTCGATCTCGAGACAGGGCAGATGCGAACTAGAAAGGAGAGGAATATATCTAACCTTTTTTTTCTCTGCTTTCCCCCTCCTGTTTCTCTCTCTTCCCTCGCATCCTGTCTCCCCAGAACGAAATCTTGAAAAGCACAGTTAGCAGCAACGATAAGAAAACCAAAGGGAGGACTGGCTGGCCGCAGCATGTCTGGGCTTTGGAGCTCAAGCAGTGAGCACGACAGGACTGGAGGAGCCGTCCTCTTAGTCTCGGTAGTGAGCTCTTCTCTGAGGACTCTTTGTATTTGGAATCGTCCAGTTTATTTATGTGCAATTTCTCCCCCAACCCCCCCCAAAATGTGGATATTTGAAGGAGAGGGAAAAAGCATTCCATATATGAAGAGGAAACTCCAGCTTGGTAAGGGGTAATGTCTCTAAATGTTTCGTGAATGTTATTTGCTCTGTATAAAACACACGGGGAAAACAGAACCATAGAAAAGGAAAAAAAAATCCCTCCCTGGCATTAGTGTGTATGTGAAGTGTATCTTTAATACTTGGCCTTTTGGATATAAATATTCATGGGATTATAAAGCTATATTTCAACAGAAGCAGTTGCACCAATGTTTCGATTGACTCGGTATTTAGTGTTGTAATTTTGTTGTGGTCGTTCAGTATTTGAAGATGTTTTCAACAGTTACTGGGTATGTGCACTTCCGTCCGTAAGGGGAAAAGTGGAATCTAATTAATATTGAAGGTGTAAACGTTGTAAGTACTCAATAAACCACTGTGTGTGTTTTTTACAAAACAAAAGGAAAAAAAAGAAAAAGAAAAAAAAAAAAAAGAAAATCCAAATCTTTTTATGTTTTATACCTCAAAATGTTTTGAATAACAGCGTTGTTTATGGCTTTTTTTTTCATAATATTTAAAATATTCGGAAGTAAACTAAATTATAAAGATGGCTCCTAAGTTTATTTTTAAACAAATGACTGAGTGAAAGGAGGGGTAGAGGGAGGGATCTCTCAACCCCGTGAGTGTTGAACAGAAACCGGCAGTTCAGCTGAGTAGGAATTCCTTGTGGTGGTGTTCTCCATGCAGGAGACCTACTGCGAACGGGAAATGGACAAGGGTGCAAAGCCCGGGCGGGTCAGGAATAGCAGAGATGCGCGGTTTTCTTGCCGCCGGAGCTCGGGCGGCGGCGGTGCCAGGCGCGGGCCCGGAGCGGGGGAGGACCGCGGGGGCGGCTTCCCAGAGAGAGGCCGGAGGCAGGCGAAAGAGGCCGGCGGGCTTTTCTCGGAGTGATTATGTAGCAGGTAATTTTACGTCAAGGAATAAAGAGCGAACAAGGCAAGGGATTTGCGGAGGCGTACGGGGGGAGGAGGTGATGGTGTTGTAGGGAATATGTAAGATTTACAATGAGCTATGGTGAACTTAATATTAACTTTGTGGTTCCTAAAACTCTCCTGGGTTGCACGTTTCCAGTACGCTACAGCGTACAGCGAGTACAGGGTTTTTTTTTAACCTTTTTTATCTAACTGCAAACTGCAGCAGCCCATGCTCTGGCTCTACTTAGTAGGTTCACTGCTTTCTCAACAGGATCTCTCTTCCTTTCTATCTCTCTCCCTGTCTATAGACTCCTTTACAAGGGTCCCGTTCCTAGGTCTGCAAGTTTTCTGCTCCCCAGTACCAGGGCGAGCTGCAGACATTCAGAGCTGGAAAATGTGTGGCGCGCTTCTGTATCATAGGCAGGCAAGGGAAAAATTAAAAGGTTTTCACATAAGGAAGCTGCTCTAGGTATTTTTGGCCATTCCTGGTTAAGCATAAAGTTTTCCACCTTTTCCATAATGAAATTCGGGCTCGTATTTTAAATCATCTCAATTTAAACCAAGCTGGCTCTCTCTTCAGGTCCAAGACTTCATACCTGCCTGCCTTCCCGTACCGCCGCGCCTAAGGAAGTGGTTCCCGACGAGATCTGGCGTAAGCGTAGGTAGATGTGCAATTGCCCATAAAAAGATAAGGGAGCCCTTGCGCCGTTTAGTCGCCCCTGCTGACAGTGGGGAGGTTGCGGGGTTACAACAACCGGACAAAAGTGATGTGCCCTCCCTCCCGTCGGGTCAGGCAGCCCGGCTCTGCTCTCCGGCGTGGGTCTGTGTTTACAGGCACTTGCCTCTGTTTATAACACTTGGAGAGAAGAATCTCCCCCCTTGTTTGCTTTTACTTGCCTATTAACTGTCCAGCTGATGAACTGGAGCTTCTCGCACTCCCCATTCTCTGCTCAAACAACTATTGTTTTTTCTTTATAGCGGTACACGAAAGAATAAAAGGGGAGAGGGGTGGCTGCGAATGCTGCGGTGCGGCAGGTTCCAGGCAACCTCTCTGCAGATGCTGTGTCTTCCCTTCACCGAGTTACCAGGCTACAATTCCCCCGGGGAATGTGCGGCAAGGCCGGGGGCTAGCGGGCCGCTCCGATATGCAATCTCCGAATCGCCTGTCCGATATTTCCCCCTCAATAATTTTCCATTTTTAAAACGTCAGATTATCGGAACCGTGAGCTCCTCTGGATCCACTACGGACTACCTCTTTTAATTGCTCACTAACGAGGATGTTGCTATTTTCTCAGGAGCAGCCATTCCCGCAGCTAAATCACAAGAGCCCTAGACAGGCCGGAGCCGACAAAAATGTAGGGTTTGACGTTAAAAGCTAAATGGGGAAGCAGAAGGTAAATTGATGGTAGATGGGGATGTCAGTGCCCTGGCCTCAGCTCTTCGCCGGCGGAGCCGAGGCCTGATAACAGTGGAGCGCTGCGCCCCGCTCCCTGCCCGCACCCGGGGGCATCACCGTCCCGTCGACTTGTCCGGTAATTCCTCGGGGCCAAAATATTTTTAGGAGCTTTTACCGAGGTGAAAGGCACGTAGGAGGAGGGACGGTAGCCTTTCCCACTCTGCAACTTTTCTGTGCGGGTGCGGGGAGGAAGAGAGAGGGGAGAGCAGAGAAACGGTGGAGAGCAGATGGGGCACTGAAGCCCTGTCACTGCAGACGGATTCATGGACCCATGAATGTCCTCGTTTCATGGCTGAGGGAGAGATCCTCTGCTCGGTCTCAAGCAACATAGCATTTTAATTTCTTTCTTCCCCTTGAAGAGGAACAGCGACAAACCTCCCTGGGGTGACATCCTTCTTCCCCTGCCCTCCCAGGGACCGATCCCTCGGTTTCTCCGGGATGCGGGCCCGATTACGTGCCCGAAATAGAGCGGTTGCCTCCTCGTAAGGAGGCAAGGACCTCCCTAGCGGCGGTGTGAGCCCCCGGGGGCCCCGAGGGTGTTCGATTCAGGCAGACAGAAGCATGGGTTTTAAGAGCTCGTCCTGGTTTTGGGAAACGTTGACGCAGCAAGGGACCGGCCCTGTACCCCGCCGCTGGCAGCAAGCCCATCGGCAACCGGCAGTACTGAGTTTTGGGGGATTTTCAGCAATGTGCGGGACCCCTATAGGACCTCGTTGCTATCGAGTGTGGATGCCATGCCTGCATTCCTGCAGGCAAGGGAGATAAACGGTGGTGGGGCTTTTTTTTTTTTTTTCCCTTTCGTTTTGCTTTTTATTGTGGGGAATTTGGTTTTTTTTCCCACCCCCACTCCCCCATCTTTCCCAGGAGCTCTTGTCTAAGTCAAAAGATTATTGCAAAAATTAGTGCTTATTTGCTATCGTTGTCAAAAAGGTGTAACGGGGCCTCTTTGGTCAAGCCGCAGACACCCCCAGAACAAGCGCCGGGACATACGCGGCCAAATATAGGGATATAAACACGACCAGGGGATGCCGTGGAGACAGCATGAGCTTGAAAGGTGGGCGGGGAGGGGGGGAGAGAAGGTTAATAATAAAACCTCTAAGCAAAATATCCTCTTTTTGCGCTTGGAAACCCAACCTTAATCCTTTTTCACACGTACTCGCCCGGCGACTCACAAACACACAGAAGAAACCTCCAAGCAGCGATGGGAAGGAAACGCATTCTGCACGCTTACAGACATAATCCCCTCTGCTGTAACGAGAGGCTTATCGATGTTTTACGTATTTTTAATTTTGGAAATTTTTTTTCGGTGGGCCATGAAATACGTGCCTTTGCAAACCAGCTACAATCTTTTCTATTTCTAATTGGCCAATTACTGTTCGGCTGTTTCAGCTTGTCACAATGGACAGTAAAGCAGAGTTGTTATCTGAATTATACATTCACATAAATTCTAGCAAAGCCGGGTGATGCGCAGGGCCAGCGGCTCTCTGGCGTATCCCGCGCCTCCCTCTCCACCTTCCAAACCAGCGCAGTGTGTGTCTCCTTCTTCCACAGCTTTCCCTCCCCCAACCCCATTTGCCTCTAGAAATACCATTGCTTTGATGATGCGATTTTAGAGCATTGATTACAAATTTATTCTCAGACACTATATAAGTCTTTATATCTGCTATTAGAGACATCTGGGAATGATTAGAGCCGTCCCTCCCCCGGCTCTGCTCCCTCTATCTTGCAGCGAGGAGCTAGAGACATGTTGACGTCAGATCAGACGGCTCGGAGCCATCCTGCTCTCCACTTGGGTGTAATCACGGCGACGCTTTCCAAGCCCCGGCCCGGCCGCGGCCGCCAGCTGGGATGCGGGTGCAGCGGGACGCGACACTCCCGCCCCAGGGCTCCTCGGCCCAGCCCAATTTCGAGCCCCCGAATTCTCCGGCACTTTTGGAGTTTGCCGCCGAGGTTGTTTGTTTATTTATCTGTTTGAGACTTTGAGAAAGCAAAAACGGTGCATTCCGCGGGCGGTGTTATTCCTCCACCCCCCCTCCAACCCCCCCCCCCCAAATCCCATCCCAGCTCTTGCTTTATCTCAGCTCGATTTCTCCCGGCGCATTCGCTCACAGCGCTGTCTTCCAAAATAAATATCGAACCAGGCAGATTTCCACCTTATGTCTTGGCAGGGAGAAATTAGCCAAACAAAGTGCAACGCTTACGTGCGGGCAGTCGCAGGCGCGCCGACACCCCGCTATCCAAAGTGGTAGTCAGGTTTACAACAAGCCGGGAGAGTTGAAGGCTGTTCTAAAACAAGACGATTCCCTACCCAAACGGCAGTGCTGCTGGCGAGGAGATGGCTTTGCACCTGCTATTAAATCCTAATGAATTGCCTCTAATTGAGATCTGGGACTGGTTGACGGTAACGCCGAGCAGCCAGTTTGGAAGCCCTGGCTCACGGGGCTCCGAGACTAAGTTTGCTACTCTTATTTTCACAAACTTTTAACTTTACGGGTTTTTTATGTGTCCTACCACTCTTTATTTTTTTTCCCCTAAGGAGATAAAAAATAATAATTGAATAAATACAACTTAAGCCTCCGCTGGCTGTTAGCACTCTTGGACGGCTGACACTTGTTCAGCTGTACATTACAATCAATGCTACTACCAGGAAGGAGCGGGCGGGGGTGTGGGGGTGGTGTGTGGATGAGAAAGCAGTTGATTTAGTCTCCAGAGGAAAAAGATAATGTTAGACTGTTTATCTAAAGGATTAAATTCTCGCTGTAAAATACGCTTGCCAGGAGGAGGGAGAAAAGGAAACAAAAAAAAGCCCCGTGTGACCTTAAAAATAAATTAAAAATACTTCTATTTCTTTGTTCCAGCAGAATAAAATAAAATAAAACCCCTAATATACCGCAACGCTCCGCTGTGTCTATCTGTAATCTCGAAAGGAAAAGGAACTATTTCCTTTCTGAATCAGTGCAAACGGTATGCTGTGAATTCGGCTTCCCGCCACAGCCAC